AGCTTGTGTAAACTTATGAATTATGAATTCAAATGGCTCAGCTTTTCAAATATCCTATTACCTGGCCCTAAACAATTTGATTTCAGGAAGTTTCAACTCTTTTATATCATTTTAACAATTACACTAAAGCTGCTGACAATTACAATTAATTTGCCAGAAAAGTCATTAAGATATATAGAATGTGTGACTCATAGTAGGCTTTAAAAAAAATTTTTTTTTCAATGTTTATTTATTTTTGGGACAGAGAGAGACAGAGCATGAATGGGGGAGGGGCAGAGAGAGAGGGAGACACAGAATCGGAAACAGGCTCCAGGCTCTGGGCCATCAGCTCAGAGCCTGACGCGGGGCTTGAACTCACAGACCGCAAGATCGTGACCTGGCTGAAGTCGGAGGCTTAACCGACTGCGCCACCCAGGCGCCCCATAGTAGGCTTTTTAAAAACAGCTTTATTTAGAACTAATTCACATGCCATAAAATTCACCCTTTTAAAATGCTCAATTCAGTGTTTCTTTGTTTTTTAATGTTTATTTATTTATTTTTTTTTCCAACGTTTATTTATTTTTGGGACACAGAGAGACAGAGCATGAACGGGGGAGGGGCAGAGAGAGAGGGAGACACAGAATCAGAAACAGGCTCCAGGCTCTGAGCTATCAGCCCAGAGCCCGACGCGGGGCTCGAACTCACGGACCGCAAGATCGTGACCTGGCTGAAGTCGGACGCTTAACCGACTGCGCCACCCAGGCGCCCCAATGTTTATTTATTTTTGAAGGAGAGAGTGAGACAGGGCACCAGGAGGGGAGGGGCAGAGAGAGGGAAACATAGAATCTGAAGCAGGCTCCAGGCTCCGAGCTATCAGCACAGAGCCCAATGTGGGGCTTGAACACACGAGCTGTGAGATCATGATCTGAGCAGAAGTCAGACTCTCAACCGCCTTAGCCACCCAGGTGCCCCTCAATTCAGTGTTTTTTTAGTATATCCCCAGAGTTGTGCAGCCATCACCATAATCTAATTTGAAGTATTTCTAACATTCTAAGAAGAAATCCATTCCCATTGGTAGTCGCTCCCTAGTCCTTGGCAACAATGAATCTATCTTCTATCTTTAGGGGTTTGCTTATTCCGGATATGTCATATAAATGGAATTATGTGACACATGTGACCTTTTACGTCCGGTTTCTTTCACTTAGAATGTTTTCAGGTTGTAGCATGTATCATTCGTTTTATGGCTAAATAATATTTCATTGTGGATATACCACATTTTGCTTATCTATTCATCAATTGATGGATACTGGGTCCTTTGCACTTGTTGGGTATTACCAATAATGCTGCTATGACAAAGCTGATTTACAAGTTTTTGTATTTGTACTTTACAAGTTTTGGACTTTCCTTTCTTGGTTCTATACTTAGGGGTCTAGGGGTCACCTTTTGAAGGAGCTGCCAGATTGTTTTACAAAGTGTCTGCACCATTTCAAAATCCCATAAGCAATGTACAAGGGCTCTGTTTTCTTCACCTTTTCTCCAACACTTGCCATTGTCTGATTTTTTTGGTATAGTTACCCTAATGGGTGAGAAGTAGATCTCACTGCGGGTTTTGATTTGCATTTCCCTGATGGCTAATGATTTTTTTCTTTTTATGTGCTTATTTGCTGTTTGAATATCTTCTTTGGAGAAATATCTATTCAAATTACTTGGCTATTTAAAGAACTGGGTTGTCTTTCATCATTGAATGCTAAGACTTCTTCACATATTCTTTATATATTTTAAAGTCTCATCAGATACATGAACCGTAAATAGTCTCTCATTCTTCAGTTTCTATTTCCACTTTCTCTGGGGTGTCGTCTGAAGCACAAAGTTTTAGTTCTAATGAGGTCCAATTTGCTTATTTTTTCTTTTGTCATTTGTGCTTTTGGAATCACATCTAACAAATCATTGCCTGATCCATGGGGCTGAGGTTTCCTAATTTCATTTAAGGATTTAATAGTTTTACCTCTTGTTTTTCAACGTTTATTTATTTTTGGGACAGAGAGAGACAGAGCATGAACGGGAGAGGGGCAGAGAGAGAGGGAGACACAGAATCGGAAGCAGGCTCCAGGCTCTGAGCCATCAGCCCAGAGCCCGACGTGGGGCTCGAACTCACGGACCGCGAGATCGTGACCTGAGCTGAAGTCGGACGCTTAACCGACTGCGCCACCCAGGCGCCCCTAGTTTTACCTGTTGTATTTCAACCATTTTGAATTAACTTTTGTATATGTTGTGAGGTAAGGGTTCAACTGTATTGTTTTGTATTGCAGATATCCAGTTGTCCCGGAACCGTTTGTTGAAAAGACTATTCTTTCTCCCACTGGATTGTCTTGGCACCCTGGCAAAGTCAATTGACCAAAAACGTGGATTTGTTTCTGGACTGTATTCTGTTCCACTGATTTCTACGTGTATCTTTATGACAGCACCACACGGTCTTGACAGCTTGGCAGTAAGTTTGGAAATAGGGAAGCACGAGTGCTCCAACTTTGTTCTTTTTCAAGATTGTTTTTTATATTAGGTGTCTACAAAAATGATTATTTAGTGAATGAGTAAATGGATGAATGTTTGCATTTTTAAAAGTTTTCTCTTGAGGGTGAGGAGGTTTTATTATCTTTAAAGGAACCATAGCTAAGAGATAGTGATATTTAGATATACATACTTTCCGAAAACATGCCAGGATTGGTCCTATTTTATAAAGATGCCTTTGATAGCTAGGTTTCTGCTACCTGGGCTGCTCGACAGGATCTGTTTCTCAATTTTCTGTAATTGGCAGCATGCTGAGGGCATAGCTGGTACTCGATAAATATTCATTGATTAAATGCCTTGTCCTTTTTCTTTTGTTTTGTTTTAACCTATTGCTTGTCTTGTCGCTACCCGTTGGTTGATAGTTGGTAAAATGTCCTGTTTTTCCAGCCCTTTCAAAAACGGTAATTTTAGTTTAGAACCCTATTTTCCTCAACTCCCGCCAATGTTCTTCACAGCACCAAAATACGCTAGACGGATGAGTTTCCAGGATGGAAACATTAGGAATTCTTTTCCGATGGAGTATCCCGGAATTGGGTTTGCCCCTCTATTTCCTACCCTGATTGCTTTGCTATCACTTGCAAGGAGTAGCCTCCCTAAGGCGGGAAATTCCCATTCCCACGCCTGGCAATCATTTCTGCTTTGAGTTTCCTGAAGTGTCATTTCCTTCAGGAAGACTTCCCAGATTGAGATACAGAGTGGACACTGATTCCATAGTGAATACGCGGTCTGGCACAGCCCACCACATCCTCCCACCAATCCCACGAGATAAAAAGGAAAAAAAAAAAAAAAAAAAAGAAGCCTTCACGTACGTTAAAAATTTTGTATTTTCACATCTTTGTTTTTACCTGTCTGTTCCTGATTTGGTGCATTGTTCCTGTGTTGCCCCCAAACCTGTTAAAACACATTCTTGCTTTAGGATTTAAATGGAAGTTTCCTTATCTCCCTCCAGGCTCCTGCTATGCTTAGCTCTGCTAGGCACATAAAGGGTACTTAGTAAATGTGGAGGGATTTTTTTTTTTTTTTTTTTTTTTTTTTTTTTTTTTTTTTTAACTGTCTTGTCTCCTGTTTCAGAACACCAACTACTCGGGCTAAAGGTAGAGCTCAGTGCGAAGTGCTTAATACACAGAGCCACGGACACGCCCACAAAAGCAGCGATGAAATCTAAGTAACCTCTCCCTTTTCTAGTTAGCCATGGGGGCTACAAGCTTTCAAACTAGCCCACCAGCAGTTTTTTATTTCCTTCTGCCTGGATTTACCTAACCGGTTGGCATGACGCAAGCAAAGGGCCAACTGCTGGGATCCCGACGGTCCCCAAAGCCGCACCTCCGCCGGCCCCGCCTACCGTGGCAAATTAAAAGCCCTGGCCAGTGCCAGGAGACCGGAATCCCAGTTCTGGTTTCCCCAAACTTTAAAACCTTGGGGACCCACATCCTCCGTTAATTAATTCATTCAGTAAATATTAGCCCCAACTGTGTGCCAGGTACACTGCTAGGTCACCGTAACAGCGAACGCGACAAAGTATTTTCATTCGTGGAATTTACGTTTCAACGGAAGGTTGAGGGAGGGCGGACGCGTACACCGTAGCCCACGGCTATTTCCCCATTTCTTTTTTAAAAAACCTTTTTTAAAGTTTATTTATTTTTGAGACAGAGCGAGCGAGCAGGGGAGGGGCAGAGAGAGAGAGAGAGAGAGACAGAATTCCAAGCAGGCTTCCAGACTTCAGCACAGAGCCCCATGTGGGGCTTGAACCCATGAACCATGAGATCACGACCTGAGCCCAAACGAGGAGCTGGATGCTTAACCAACTGAGCCCACCCAGGCGCCCCTACTTCCTCATTTCTTAAAGCTACGGAAGAGCTTCCAGGTTCAATTTGAATGTTTAGGGCCTGTTACTTGCACGTGATCAAAGCTCAGCATGCAGCAAAAGCTGCCGCTCCTGTAAAGTCAGTCCGCGGTTGATCACAGGAGTATTCTAGCTCTGTTTTACAGAGGGTACAACTAACAGTTGAGCATAAGTCTTCACTATTCTACACGACCTCGGCATGCATCACGACTCTGACCCACGGTTAGTAGCCGCCTCTATTTGCCAAGGGCCCGAGGTAGTTAGGCATTTGGTATTTCGAAAGGCTGTTTGAAGGGCTTCCTTTCGCCCAAGTTATGCATGTATTTGCCAGTCGACAGGGGGTAGGGGGTGCAGAAAAGTTGCTTTCGGTTAAGCAGGGCAGCAAGGTGCTGGGGAGGACGCGAGGCGTCACGCTACGTTAACATTTTAATCCAAAGAACTGAGTCAAAACGACGGCAGTGGTGCCAGGGCCCTGCAGAGGCCACGCAGGTTTTAAGGAGGCGCTCCGTCCTCCATTCCGAGCCTGAAACTTCCTCCGAAACGCACGCTGTGAAAGCATCGTAGCTTCCCTGAGCGGCGCCCATCCCGCCACAATCCGCAGCCGCAGTGCAGGATGGCGCAGCACCGAAACCCGTGGCAGAGCAAGGCGAGAGCTGTCACCGCCTCCTCGCCCGCCGAGGCCAGGAACGCCTAGCCCGCGCAGGCCACCCCGGCGCAGCGCTCTCC